GGGGCCGTCACTACGCGGCCATGCTGTGCCTCTAGTGCCAGCGGCGTGTCTGGAGTGTATTTTTTGGCTGTGACAGACCTTTCTTTGTTTCGTGGACGACAGTCTGTAGAGTTTTCCATCTGGTGTGGGTGAGTAATAGTCTACTTTGATTTTGGTTAAGGTAGATTATCATTTACGGTGTAATCAGTGAGGGGATTCTGCAGACTGTTGAGGGTTCAGCCTCCTGATGAGTCGGTGAAGCTCCGACGAAACAGTTTGTCACAGCCCCTCATTTGTTGTCCTCTTCTCCCTCTCTGCCTACGGTTTACCGGGCAGTTCTATTTGACGACATATAGATATATATACATATTATTCGTATTTTTTTTACAATAGAAAGAATTTATGAAAACAAGTCAAATTTATCGGTGATTAGATTATTATAAAACAGATTAGCAGTTCATCAGCAATAAAATTCTCACCACAACACTCCTTATATTTCACTGTTGGCCGATTTTATTTATTTATTTATTTTATTATTTTTTTCAACACATCTGTGGTGGAGCTTTGTCCCACATGCCACACTTGCCATTGGTCGAGGACTCGACCCTGGTGTGCCGCAGCGGGGTCAGTGGGACCAGTCCCAGGCCGGATCAAGGCCCACTGTTGATGTTCTTCAACTTCTTCTGAGTTCAGTACTCGTGATTTTCGATTTATGTGCGTCATCCTTCATCGCGCAGGGGCCATTTTGCTAATTACCCTTCTCTGTATCATTCCAATTTGAACGGATGTCCTGAAGGACACTTGCGATTTTCCACTTGTGTCTGTTGTTCAACTTCTTCGGTTTTTTTTTTTTTTTTTTTTTTTTTTTTGAGTGTGTTGAAAGCACAGCTCCCAGTCTATTTGTGGGAAACATCATGTGCTGGGGCCAAGTCCGACCCTTTGAGTTTCCTCAACGGCCCGAATCTGGACGTGTTTGTGGAGATTTGCAGATATGAGGAAACTCAACTCTGCTAGTGGGACTCGGCCCCTGGGAAACATGCCCAGCATCCCTTTTGAAAAGTTCCATTTGACAAAAGACGGCAGCACCAAATGATTTAATTAAACTGTATCCAGATTTAATTTCCTTGGGCAATGCCCCCAGGGCACTCTGTGGGTGTAAGCCGTAGGACTGGAATGTGTTCGTCCAACTTCATGAGGCCTTATGGTGACACCATAACAACCATAATAAGACAGACAGAATTCAATTTGATTGGATTCACTCACCGAACTCAGCCATGATAGTGGTCCGATAGCCTGAGCCTTCAATGTTGTCGGAGGTGACGGAACAGTTTTTGTACAAGGCAGGGGCCGTGCTCTGGCGGTTTAGGGCATTGTTAGACACTCCTTACGAGTTCCTTCCGCCACAAGGAATTTTCCTTGTGGCTCGAAAGGGAATTCGGGCTCTTCGTTCCACCTGTCCTCGGGGACGTCGCCCGAGGACATTTCCTAAGACTGATGTCAGAAAAAGAAAAGAAAAGAAAAGAAAAAAAAACAGTTGTGCTTCAGGCCTTCAGCCAATAGGGTGCCGCCACGATCCAGATTCTCAACTGTAACGTCTATCTACCGGTGTGCCCAACTCCTCTCTAGAAACGCGGATTCCTTGTGCCCAACTGACCTCACGACGTCCCTTGGGCACAAGGAAGAAATGGATGGGGCCACAAGGATGCCACAAGGAATTTTCCTTGTGGTGTTTTCACATTTCTTTTTCAATTTCGTCCCCAAGGACAGGTGGAACGAGCGCGTCCTTGTGGATTTCATGTCCCCAAGGGGTGTCTAAGGACGCCCTATGGGTCCAGGACCTAGAGTTTCCATGTAACCCTCATTTAGTTTAAAATGAGATTTTTTTGTTTTTGTTTAATTGCATGAAGTTGACTGTCCAAAATTTTCTGTTTTTTTTTTGTGTGTTTATTGAACCCATGTAGATGCGACATAGTACACACCTAGAAGTAGCACCTTTTAATGAACATCATTCCTTTATTTGATTTGGTGACTCTCTTTATTATTATTATTATTATTATTATTAGATTAATAAGATTTAGGTAATAAAATGTGCTGAAACCTGAAAGTAGTACAACTAAATCAGGCCTTAAACCACCAGTACCTTTCCCTGCTTGTAAACAAAATGCGTGGCGGTTAACACGGGCAACTTTCTTGGCTCGGGGAATGCCTGGTGCGGCAAAGGGGGTGGAAGCTGATGGTTGGTACCAGGGGAAAGGGCGTCGTTAGACACTCCTCGGGGACGTGAAATCCACACGCTCGTTCCACCTGTCCTTGGGGACGGAATTGAAAAAGAAATGTGAAAATGCCACAAGGAAAATTCCTTGTGGTGTCCTTGTGGCCCCAGCCAAAAGCGGACGGTTGGTACCAGGGGAAAGGGCGTCGTTAGACACTCCTTGGGGACGTGAAATCCACAAGGACGCGATCATTCCACCTGTCCTTGGGGATGAAATTGAAAAAGAAATGTGAAAATGCCACAAGGAAAATTCCTGGTGGCGTCCTTGTGGCCCCAGCCAAAATTTCCTTGTCCCCAAGGGACCTCGTGAGGTCCCGTGGAGCTCAAGGAACTGCGATTCACGGAGTGGCGAAGACATGCGTCGATGAAGAGTTTCAGTTCTTGGGTTGTCCAGATGTGGTCCGAGGCGATAGTACGGACATCCCCACCCTCCAACGTCTGCGTAGTACCCCAACGGCCTCCAACGGTTACCATTGGTGGTGGGCCTCCATCGGGTAGCGTCGTCGATTTTGACCGTCGTGATGCGGTCTCCCATGCTAGAGTCACATCCGCAGCGGTCGTGACCGATCTGTACCGCAGACTCCCTCTGCTGGTCTTCGTTGCTGTGCTGCTTTTGGTGGTCCCTATGCTGCTCCCTCTGCTGCTCTCCAGACGTGGCATTGCTTCCCTGTCCACTGTGTCGTTCATGACCGACCTCTGCCGCAGGCTCCCTCTGCTGCTCCTCGTCGTTGTACTGCTTGTGGTGGTCCCCATGCTGCTCCTCGTCGATCTGCTGCTTCTCGCATTGCCGAAGGTCTTCTCACGCCCCTCCGATCCTGCGCGTTTCATCCACCACCTCGGCGTTGCTCGCAGAATGTCGCCGCAACCCAACGCGCAACACAGCTGAATCACAGCCTCCGAAGTCGCTACATATTCGGGGCCGTCATGTGCAGCTCGCATCAGCATCCTTCTCCTTTGCGCACGCAGCTGCGCCTTCATTCGTCCCAACGCCCTCTCCTGCTGACAACGAAGGACAACGGCAGACACGGCTGCCGCCACGACCATCCTCTCCAGCAGAGTCAACAGCATATACCCGACCTCTCCGCCGCCCTCCATCGCCAACACTTCCACAGGAATGACGTGTCTCCACTGCTGTGAGGATGGTCGCCCCCACGACACTTCTGCAAAGCGGCTCCCTTTGGGTCGGCGTTGCTCTCCTCAGAAAACTGTGTTGAACGACCCCTGCAAAGTGGCATGCGTCGATGGCGATGGGAGCTACCACTGTGTGCGCGTGCACACAGCGCTGCGTTTCTCGGGAAGGGACGCTGCCGCAGAGCCCGATTCGCCCATGCCCCGTCCTCACGCCGCCTGCCGATGGTCGTACTCGTCACCACAGCCGCATTTCAAATTTTGAATTTCGAACATGGAGGTCCCCTATTTTTTATTCTGTTTTTTGTTGCCTGGCCCTGCCTTTTCCCGTCGGGCGCCGCTGGACCATGCCGTCTCGACACGCGGGCAGGCGACAAGGAAACGTCATCGGTGGTCCCCAAGGATATGTGGAACGAGGCAGCAAAATTTCCTTAAGAGCTTCGAGGAAAGCGTAAGGAGTGTCTAACGACGCCCAAAGAGGGAAATGGACGGCATGTCGTGCTGTTGGTTTACATCGTGCATGTCGATACACATGCACAGAATCTGAATGCCGTGCCGCAGGGAAAAAAAACAGAAAGAAGAAAATGGGCGTCTTAGGGTGTTTGCGGGCTATCAAAGTCCAGAATGTATCGGACCTGGAATGTGGAACTTTACATTGGGAACTTGCTTTGAGGAGTTCACGCGAGCACAATACTTGCCAGAAGCCGCGGCCCTCATCATGATTTTGAAGGCAATGACGTTGAGAAAATTATTTTTTTATTTTTTATTTTTGGAAAACTTTATCTGTATATTGCCAAAATCAATGGGACGAGGCCGGGGACCTCACAATTCGACCCGGAGTTATCCTGGCAGCCTCAGCCAGTTTAGCTTACGAGTCGAGCTCGATGTCTAACCGACTGTTTCTACTTTACCATGAGCCAGCTGGAAACCGGGTCCAGTGTCCCATACTCAACAGCCACTTTCCAAAAAGTTAACTTTAAAGCAAAATAAAAAGGGTTCCTAGAGCCAAGGTTCCAAGAACATTGTAATGAACAGCAAGGAATTCTCAGGAAGGTTTACCTCAAGAGTAACCAGCCTACAAAAACACACTGCTAGCTAGTCCCTGATCCCTAATGTCAAACAGCGCCAGCCAGGGCCTGCATTATCCTTTTTTCAAGTTTTACTCTCGGAGCCAGCTAGCCACTGACATTTTGTCCTCTGCAGAGAAGTAAGCCAGTTTGTTGTTCTTAGCCCAAGTTTTATGAAACCAAAAGCGACCTGGTCTCTATCTAAAGATATATTTTCCAACCTGCCAGCAACATTAACCTGATATTGGAGCGAACTTGCCTGCGTTGTTGCTGGACATTCAGTTTCTCTTGCTTGAATATAACTGACTTGTGAGCTTGCCAAATCTGCTGCATTACGACCCCTTTGCAAACCGTGCCACATAGCCCCATCCCTCCGACAGCGTAAATTTCGCTTTTGGAAGAATACCATACAAAATCCAATCGGATTCCTTGTTCTATTCAAATTCTTCGTTGGTGATACAGTGCCAGTGTGCCGACCACCATAACCAAATCTCTTCTGCCTGCGGGCAATCGAACCAAAGGTGGGAATTAGATTGGACAAACGCATCCCGGAAGAAACGATGGTATGTCAGCAGGAGGAAATCTTCAGAATCAGAGTCTTCCAAGAGGGAGAGCAATGGATCGCTTTCCACCCCTCCACGCCGATCCACCATTTGGCCCTGGACCTGGTGGAATGGAAATGGACGACCCGAATAAGGAAAGGCAGGAGCCACACCAAATCATTGTATAGCCTTACAATCAAATCCACCTACAGACTCTTGAGTAGGGGCCAGATAGCAAAAACACCTGAATATCAGCAAAGAGGCGCTTAGGCCGATCAAGTGATTCGACATGGCAAAATCGAAACCTGCCAAGTTTGCCTCGCTTCAATGGCAGATAGAGGATCGTTGCCTACCAACCAATGACTGGCTAATAGACAGGACGTCTCTAGAACGAAAAGGACAGGCCTTGCCTTGGTGTAAGCCGTGCACAAACAAATTTTCATCCAGAAAACGCCTAGAGACAATCAAACACATATTCTTACAATGCCTGGGCGCACTCTGGTTATGGAGATGGTGGGATAGAATCTGGGACCAATTAGAAACCAAAACAGCGTGGCCCTGGGACTGGCGGGCCCTGCTGTGCGAGGCATGGCCAAGGGACCAGACTGACCCCCCCGACGAATTTACAATCAATCTATTCAAACTGGGAAGAAGGGCGGTGCTCTGGACACTGTGGAGAAGACGCTGCACATATGAGTTGGAAGGAGCGAGATTAGGACCCGAATTTACAGAAAGTGTGCAATTGCAGATCCAAATCGAGATAACGGCAAAATGGGAGGACGTTAGAGCACGCATTCGTTCCCTTGACAGGAAAAAGGAAATTGAACAAAGAATTCAAGAATTTTCCCTAAGCTGGCTGGGGGGATCACCGGTGGGAAGATAGGGAAGGTGGAATGGAAAGGGGCACAACGGGATGCCGGGGAGGAACATGGGAGGACGAAAATAGTAAAGGACTACCGGTTGATATTTCACAATTGGACCGACATTGATCCTGCGATACCATTGAAATCTCCAGACAACTTTCCCGATTTCTTCCCCCACCCACCCAATTGCCTAGTTGGAATGCAGTGGTATGGCATGGATGGCATGGATGGATGATTCTGGGAGCAACAGGGCAGCCTCTATAATTCCATATACAGGTCAGCTGCAAGAGCCATCAGTTCAGACATAGAAGGGAGCTAGGAAGTAGTGAGAAGATTTGGCGCCCAAACAGGGTGAAGAGGTTCCGTCTAGTGGCAGGTGTATTCTCAGTTTGTCTCAGTTGTGCAGAAACCATGCTTAGTCAATCCCCTGAACTTCAGGGCAATTAATGCTGGCAAGGTCCCCCTCACTGGAAATTCTTCTGATCAAATCTTGTACTGGGACGCTGGACCCGTTTTCCAGCAGGTCATGCTCCCCACCAATAGATGGAGCCTCCCCCCGCGTGGTAGTGGTGACTGCTCTTATCACCACCGCTATCACTAGGGGTATGTTTGAAGGAAAAAAAATAAATAAAAAAAATCCCACCTAGTCACATCGCCTACACGTGGTTTGTAGTTCCATACCTCTGGAGTTCAACCAAAGAGCCGTTCGAGTGACAAACAGAGATTGAGCCCAGAGGAGACTAGCGTCTTTTTGTGAGGGGATAAGTTGTAGAGCCTTCCACAGGCTTCGCCACGTTGGGGGTGGTGTATCTTCCTCTTTCAGGTTCCTGAATCTTCTTCTAGCCAACACAGTCGGAGTGATTAGCGTTGTAGAGCGTAGGAACTGTACCCCTTCTTTCACTGAGTAGCAACTTATTGGGGTGGTTTATGGGTGACACTCGTTCTCACTCTTCCACTCAAGCAGAAGAGGTTCTGATTTTAAGTCCTCTGCTTGCTTAGTAGAATCAAGCTCTCACCTCAAGAAACTCAGCTGAGCTCTTCAAGATTGAGGCCCAGAGGGGCGGGAGGGCTTCCACCAATTTTGACAGGTTCATTTGAGTGTTCCGCAGTCGAGGGAGAAACTGTTTGAGTTGTTCTGCAGTGACCCAGTCGTCTTATTGCTCATCACATAGGTGCTGGACAATGAGAACTCCCCTTTCCGTCCAAGCTTTCCCAAAATTACCTGAGCCGTCTCCTGCAGAGAGCATTCTGCCGTCTAAGGTTCTGCTCGATGGATTATCAAAAAGTCTCTGGTTGCCAATTTCTAGCTTCGTGGTGGGAGGAATAGTCTGATTTGGAAAAAGTTAAGACCATGCATAAAGTATTCCTCGGCAAACTCCGAACTTCACTCTCTTTCTCAAGAAGGAAGGCATTAGAACGTAGTGTCAAACATCCCTTGGGTTTCGCAGATTCCATTATTTCCCTAGGATGTACTCTGCCAGACGAATCCATAGTTTAGATGAATCTTCGAAGAGGGCCTTGTACACCCATTTCACTAGAAGAGCTAAGTTTTAAGTGTATTCCCAGCCCTCCCTGGGATCTCAGACGACAGATGGCTTCCCAGGCTACCTTGGTTATGTAGCCCTGGTCCTCTTCAGTTGTGGGTTTTCAAAGATACCTGGCTGCAGGCTTCTTAATTGAAGAGCAAGCCTCCTTTCCGAGAAGATATATCGACAATGGGAACCAAAGGATAGAAAATGCGATAGTTGAGATTACCAAAGCCCTGCCGAAGGTTGAGAGACGGTAGTTCTTTTGCCAGTTGTGGATTCTGGCCATCACCCTTTCCTCTAGGATCCTGTCTTGCGTGTAAGAACAGTCTGTAAATGAGATTTGGACCCCAAGGAAACGTTCCGAATTATTTGTTGGCACTAAGCGGAGACCCAGTCCAATTTATTGAAGCTTCAGACAAAAAACAATAGTCTTCAAGCACACGCCTTAGTTCAAGGAGGGATGAGGTCGAGTTCTCACAGGCGACCGTAAGATCGTCTGCGAGTGCACCACCTTTCCAATGGAGGGACGGACTGAGATTCAACCCTCTTATCACGTTGTTATGTCTAATATTATCTAGCAACACTTCTAGCTACAAGACAAAGAGGAGGGGGGCTAGAGGGCATCCCTGACGCAGAGAGTGGGTCAGGGGGAATTCCTCTGAGAGTTGTCTATTAACTATCATCGAGGAGACTGCATTGACATACATTGCGTGGATCCATTTGATAAATCCATTTCCAAAGCCCATTCTAACTAACGTGGTGGTTACCAACAGTGTTGTCACGCGGGGATCCCCGGGGCCCAAGTCGGGGTGGGGGTTTCACCCCCGCAACCCCGCCGCGGGGATCCCCGACCCCCGGCCCCTCCAAATCAACCCCGCACGTGCCCCACCCCCAC